GTAAGCTAGAGGTTATATCTCACAGAAATCAATATTCCTAACACAGCAAAGATCCAACAAGTAAAAATAAAGGATAAATTGTCCTTACAAAACTTGCCTTGTATAAATTCTTTTTCTTTCAGAAAATGTTTGAAACATCTTTATCTCTTCACAGGCTTTTGGCCTGTAATAAGACAATTATGTGCATTTAGAGCACATATCATTCCCTTTCTAAACTTGCTGTATTACTCTCTAAACCAGTCATTTTTTTTACAGATGAAAACAATAAAGACAACCTTTGTGATTTTACTCATGTTGCTTCTTGGTGTTCCATTTCACAAATAATATGGCATTGTTGCTCTGCTGAAAGTTATTTCATCAGTAACATCAATAAAATAACACCAGTCAGAGATATTTCAGATGGATGCTTTGGCATTGAAAATCTTGAAGCCTAGACCACAGACTTATATCCATTAATCTTCTCAGTTCCTGTTTCTCTTCAGGCATGAGATGAATAACAAACAGTAGATATGTGTTTGCAGGACAATTATTGGTTAGACAACAGCAATGAGATATTTCAGATCAATAGATATATTTTAGGTACTGTGGATATCACTTATTTGGGGCCTTGGAAAATGCAGACAAAAGGTGTTACTTTCCTACTTTTCAGCTCTTTGCAGTTCAACTTCTTCCCTAGAGTTATTTCTAATAGCAGTGGAAGAAAACAGAAGGTAAATACAGTCCAAATCCAATACCCTGAAATCACTGGGCACACTAGTAGGCTTAAATCACCACTGCTTTATACCTTCTGCCAACTTTTCACTAGCATGAAAGAACAATAAGACATGTAAAAGCAGAGAGAAAGACACTCTCTAAATAGCAAGCCAACCCTACGTTTAGAGAAAAAAGAGTTCTTGAAGTGAAATATGTAAGAATTTTCCTTATTTCTTTTTGTAGTAACCCTCATGGTTATAAACAACACCACATTCAAGAATTTTCTCCCATCGGGAAACACCCATGGATTTCTTTTTTGAAAGCATTTTATGCAAAAGGAAACAGAAACTTTCCTTCCATTTGTATCCAGGGGTGCTCTGAATAATAGCTTTAAAATCTGAAGATTTGGGGTATGGTCCAGTCATACAGTTAGTGACAAGACTCAGAATGCGACCCAAAGAAATTGTCTGGCATGAGGACAAATTGTTTGGGTTTAGTGGTTCAATAATCCATGAATGAAAAATATGTACATTAAAATGCAACAACTCTAGTTATGGACTGTAGGTTTAATAAAGCATTTTACATGTCCCCAAGTACATTTTACAAGACAGAGCATAATGCTGCCTTAGCAAGGGAACTGTTATGCTCTATCAATTCAGTAATATGTGTTTTTAAAACTCCCTAAATACAGACTGTATTTATACTTTAAGTTCCACTGGCCCCTTGAGACATAAATTTGCATTTTGAAAGAGACCCGTAAAGGACTTTTATATATCTTGTTCTAGATTTCTCAACCAAAGTTTTCAAAATTAAATACAAAACATGTCACATTTACATTGCATTTAAGTGATATATATCACCGTTAATACCGTATTTCCTTCTCTTCTGGGAAAAAAAAATAATGGATTATATAACCACATTTGAATCAGTTGACACACAACAGCTGTCACATTCACTGGCAATTGCTGAAAGCATTCATGTTTGAATGTTCATTGATATAATTTTTCTGTTCTTTTCTGCCCTATGGTTTGGCCACTGTCTCCCATTAACCTACAACCTGCTGACAAACTCCCAACTCCTACTGGGTGACAGACTTGAACTCTTTGAAATTATTATATGGAGGAATTCAGATGAGCCTTATTTTTATTATTTTTTAACCTTAAGCCATCTATTAAATGTTCAAAACAAAAAGAAAAAGACCTAGTGTGATGTTTCATAACAATACCTATATTTAGTTACGCACTGGTCTTCATCCCGATACATCCCAAACTACTGCTGAAACTACCAGCAATCCCTCTGTCCTTTAATCTAAGTCAATGCTTCATCTCATTTTGTTATTCAGTTACTGGCATCAGAACATGATTCTGCATGCTTAAAAATTAAAACAATTTGGAAAAATAATAAAAAAAAAAAAAACAACTGCTGAATTGCTGATAACTAACAGAGCACCTAATCCTTCAAGATACATTCAAGCCAAGATCAGCAGTCAAGAGGAGTCTGTTTTCTGGGATCTTTTTGTATACGTCTCCTAGCTGATTTAAAATCTGTCTCTAAAGATTTTCCCTCCCCAGAGGATTAGAGAAGAAGGAGCAGTTACTTTCAGAACTGACTGTCCACAAGCATGACTGTGGCAGCTCTTCAAAGGGGGAATGACAACTGTATGAGATACCCACCAAGCATTACTACAAAACAGACTTGTACTTTCTAATGGAGAAGGTGTGGGCAACCTCAGGAGTGCCTAAGGCAGCTAATGCAACTTTTGATTTATTCCAGCCAAGTGGTAAACCACTTTCAATTCCTCATACACTGAAAACAAAAGCCACTCACATCTCCCAAACCTAGGATTATTCATAGAGGAGCATTACCCTGGATCTGTCTGGATGGTCCAGTGCTGGGATCCAACCCCAAAAACAGAGTTGCACTGAGGATGCCAGAGAAAACAACATGACCAAGTTGTGCCCTTCCAATAGAGAGTCTTCACCACAGCAGGCAGCTCTTAGTATGCTTTCTCTTCAATGATATGCTGTCCAAGTTTTGGGCAGAAGTTCACTAGAACCCTATTTATTGAGCTTTCAAATCCATTTGCATGCTACATTTGTCAATGTAAAGCATCAGCCAGCCATTTCAAATGCCATCTTCCTTTATACAGTCTTTCAGCTGAAAGCATGATTTGGGAACAGAATAGCAGACAGTGAAATGAGCTAAGCTCATAAGAAAAAAGACCTGAGAAAGGAATCACCAGTAATTTTGAACATTACAGATTATGAGTTACACTCACATACACTCACTCATAGTTACAGCTCTAACTGTGCTGTACAGTCACGCAGAGTAATGGGCTTAAATCACTCACATCTTCA